CGCCTGTGCTGGATCCACCCCTGGTTGGCGCCAAGTAGAGAGTTAGCGGGAGAATTGCAAATAAAGGCTGTTTTGTAACATGATGAAAAGGCATTCGTGAAATTGAATACAATTCCTCTGTTCTTCTTCTATCTCTGAATTTCTCTCTCTGTATCTCTTCCTCTTCTTCCCTCTTTCTTCTGAAATTCTATCTTTTGTGCAACTTCATAACACCATAAGAATTCCAAAAAGAAATTGGACAAATTATTGAAAGCTCCTGGACAGTCTAGAGAATTCTACCGCCGTCAATTGAAGGAATAATCCAGAATCTAGCCGAACCAATTCCACCGACTTTATGCTACATATATGTTTGTCTGTGTGTTTAGCCTATGAAATTGTGTGTGAAGAGAGGTGTCAGTAGAAGAAAGGAAGAGTCAGCAGAAAAATAGAGATAGGAACACATTTATATGAGTGTTGTGTGAGAGAGAAAAAATATTTATATAATATCAGTTAGAGCGTTTGGTGCGTGTGTTTAAATTTGTCCAAGTCTCTTTTGCAATAAAAGAGAACTTTTTTTATGCTTCAAAGTCAACAATTTGGTATAAGAGCAAGGAATTCGGGAAAGATTTTTTGGGCTTTTTGAGATCGTGCACAAAAGAATATTGTAAAGCTTTCGTAAAACTTGGCTGATTACGATGAGGTAAATCAAGTCACGATATCCAATCTACAAGCGTAGGTGGAATGAAGAAGCTCAACAATCAAAATTACAGCACATGGAAAATTTACATGAGTCATATCTCCAAGGGTAAGACTTGTGAAAAGTTGTTGGCAGAAGTTACGTGACATCATCATAGGAAGCCGTGGCTTTGAAGAAATGGAGAATTAAAGCGGGCAAGGTATGTGTTATAAAGAAGACAATTAAGGAAGAATTGTTGAAGCACATAAGAGATAAGAACACAGTGAATGAAGCATGGAACACTCGGCCACACCATTCTCAAAGAAAAACAACTTGATATTACAATTGTTGGAAAACAAGGTACTCTCAATCACTCAAGGATAATTAACGGTATGTTAATACTTCAATAAAGTTAAATCTATTTGTCGCAAAATTTCAGAATTAGATTCTTCGAGTAAGATATCAAAATCTAGAATGAGATAAATAATCATACACGGATTAAGACTTGAATTTAGAAGTTTCATTGCTACCATACAATGTTGGCTAGAGCAATCGTCACTGGTCAACCTCGAAAATTTGCTGGCTGACCAAGAAGTGTTGACTAAGCAAATGTTAGAGGTCTCAATAAAGGAAAAAAGAAGCAATATATAGTTATAAAAGAAGAGGTCGATCTCGTCAACAAAATAATAAAGAATTAAAAAAAAATAAATATGGAGAATATTATGTGACAAGGGAAGTAAAACAAAGTCACGACAAGAGAGGTCAACTGTCTAAGAGATTTCAACAAACTAATGGCTCGTGTTTTATATCTAAAAAATGAGGCCATTGTGCTAGAGATTGCTGTTCAAAAAGGAATTAACAGAAGGGAATATAGCAACCTAACAAGGAAGAGAAATATAATAGTGAAGAAGAATTGGATATTGATGCATCGCCTACAATAATTGAAGAGGCTAGAGAGAAGAAATTCAATTCAAGTCTAGAAGATAAATCAGCATTGGTAGTGGTCCTTCTCGAACAAATGGATTGCAAAAATGATTGGATCAATGACTTACGAGAAGTTGATTGGATCCATGACTCAGGAGAGGACATCGTGGTTCATGGAGAGTTTTCTAGGTGGACTTAGTAGAGGGAGGAATTAGCAGACTCAAAAAAAGTATTTGAAGGAACGTATTCTTGGCAGACACCGCAGATGGTGGAGCTCCAAGATTTAAAGGAAACGGAAGACAAATTTTCATAAGAGATTACAAAAGCACAACAATGAAATTTTGAGGAATCTAAAGATCTAAAAGTGTTACGTAATAAAAAAGAGCTTATTAGAGCAACACAAAGTTATTCGTAAAATGGTGCAGACCAAAAAATACTAATGGAGGATCGAAGGAGTTAACATGATATTGAAGGACGTACAAATTCTCAATCACAAATAAGGAAGTTGGACGAACATGAGAAATCAAGTACAAAGCATGCTAATCAAAAAATTAATAAATAGAAAAGAATGAAAGAGTCGAGATTAAATGAAGGATCGATCGCTTCAAAACTTGTTGAGTTTGAGACAAAGCTGAATGTAACTAAAAAGAAAAGAGTTAAAATGAAAGTCGGTGCTGAATGGAAGAATTGAAGGTCATTACCGAATGTGAGGAAGCTCCAAGAATTCTCTAGAAAATTGGTGACGATTCTTTGCTAACCATATCCCTTAATCCATAAGAATTCCTAGAAGAAACTTGACAAATTATCGAAAGCTGTTCACCGCTATTTATGGAAGATTCTGGACAATCTAGAGATTTCTACCATCGCCAATTGAAGGAATAATCCAGAATTTGACCGAAACAATTCCACCCACTTTATGCTATATATATGTGGATGTGCTCAGCCCATGAAATTGTGTGTGGAGAGGAGGCGTGAGAAGAAGGAAGGAAGAGAGAGAGAGAGAGAGAGGCACGCATTTATTGGAGTGGTGTGTGAAGAGAAAAATTGTTGATGTAATATTAGTTTGTGCATTTGGTGTGTGTTTAAATTTGTACATGTCTCTTTTGCAATAAAAGAGAGTTTCTTTTATATTTCAAACTCAACAAATCAATATTAGCAAAATATAATTTTTACAGTCATCACACGGTCATTCAAGAGGAAGGAAGAGCGTCATTTTCATGTACGGTATTTAATACTTCACAAAAATTTTCAAATTTTGAACAGTTGAATTCAATAACCTCTTGTTTGGCACCCATTCTTTTGAAGAATGAGTTTTTGAATAGTGATTGATGTAAAGAATGTGTAGTTAAAAAGTAATAAGAATATTTTTGGGTTTATGTGTAATATTATTTTATTTGGAGAATGTGTGGTTAAAAATGAGTACCGTAGAAAAATGAGAATGAGAATGAGATAAAAAAATGGGTGTCAAACGGGGGCTAAGTAAAGTCCAATAACCATTTGAAAGCATTTTTAAAGTTTTAGTGAAAAAGCGTGACGAAATTATAAATTCAGTAAGTAAAGTGTGACGCAGATATAAGTTCAATAACTAATGAAACATCCGATGGAATGAAATGTGTTAAAGTTCAGTGATCATTCGAAAGTATTTTAAAATTCAATTAGTAAACTGTGATACTTCCATTCATTCTTTCATCTCTTATTAACATATCATGTAAATCAATGATAGGTAAATGCAATAAAAACTTGACCCAATGGAAAATGAAATCAATAGATTGGCTAACTTAAATTGTATGTCATCGAGATCACGAAGCACAATTTCTTGTGGTGGCCGTATAACATCTTTTTGTACCCTCAATCTTATTATTGTTGTAATTGGAGATTACAATTTAACATGCATAAATGATAAATTGGGTGCTTCACTCAGCTAACTTGTCAGAATTATTTTTTATTTATACTGGTCTGAATTTTCTGTTAATGATACCTGCTTTTTTTCATTGCGAACTTCCTTTTTGATTATCAATTAATTGGGTTCGACACTGTTATAATTTTGATTTATGTGACGAAGTATCTTTAATATATGGAGCTAATTCCAGTATTGTAATTATGGACGTTATGTTTTGTGTTAGGATTCAGTGTAAGGTCAAAGCTAGCATGCCCATTTTTTATGTTGGGCATCGTTTCTAGGTTGCACTTCTTGTAATTGATTCAGTCAACATGTTCTTAAAAGTTCAAAGTGCATTTTTGTGTTAAGTAGGTGCAACTTGAATACATTTCCCAGTGATTATATTGGTTGTTGGGAGTTGAATTAAGCCTATTATCTGCCAAGAATTTTGAGAAATCAAACAACTCAAATACCCTTTTTTTTTTTTTCTAAACTGAAAATTAAATTCAATTTGGGGGCTTTGATATTTCGATTTTTTCGCACCATTTTATGATTAATTGATGAAGTGGGATTAGGAGTAGATGCTATAGTTGATGGGTTGTGATTGTGTGAAAATTTTGGGATCAAAACATTCAAGAAAATTTAGATTCAAAGGGTAATTTTCTTTGAACACAAGATGTTCGATGAAATTTCCCAACGAATCAATCGAGCTTATTTTCACACCAACTTTGCACGATGCATTTTTGCTTTGATATATAACATACTTGTATGAAAAAATCTTCACTTGCATTGAAATTGGGACAATTTTGACGTGAAAGTAACAGGGGAAACGAAAGCTGCCGCGTCCCCATCCTGCGTCCCTTACGTCCACCTATTGCATCCCCAGTTGCATCCCAGCCTGCATCACCTTGTTGCGTTTTCCATTTTCTTATTTTTATTTTATTTATTTTTAGGTCAAAAACTAGTTTACAATCATCATTCTTAATTAAATTAACATAAATTCGCATGTGAGTATATTTGTATTTATTTTTTCTGTTCGTTTTTCAGGTATAATCAAAATATGTTACAAAACGAGCAAGGAAAGGATATTGAAGGAAGATAAATCTTCAAGTGCTTAACGAGAAACATCATATACACGGTGAGTATTGTTAACTCTTCTTTAATTCACACATTGAGGACAATGTGTATTTTAAGTCTCAACCTTGACATTGGAACAATTGAATCTGATTGCTTGAATATTGTTCAAGCTGTGAACAATCCATCTAACTGAAGAAGCCATTTTAATGCCGACTCCCATTATTCCATGTTATAATGAGAGGAATATGAATTGTTTGGAGAATATGTCGTTAAAAGAGAAGGAAAAGTGGATTTATGTGCTTAGACCGTATTGTTAATTTATGTCCTCGATATTTTGTTCCTTAGTTCGAGGTGAAGGTAATAATAGTCAAAGATGCTTTTTCTCCTCTTGATTTTATTTTAAACATTATTGATGATCTTGTAACTCGCGAGTCGAGTCAAGTTCGTGTTTAGGCCAAAACAATCATGCTAAGAATCATTCAGCGAACGTCGTTAAACTTAACGGCAGTGCCTCCATCACTTTGCCATTACAACCGATGCTTCTTCTCTGCTGACTTGCCACTGTGTACTCAGACGTCCTCCGATTTGCCTCGAGTTGAATCACTTGTCAACAGTTGTGATTATCAGCACTGGCTCGTTGTCATGCACCCACCCCCTCATAGTTACCCACAAAGAGACCAAATTATTCACCATTACATAACCACACTCTCTCTGGCTCTTGGAAGGTAAAAATTTCTTTTCCAAATAATCAAGAAAAAATATTATTTTTAGTTTATATTTTCTGTATGTATTTGTCCTCTTTTTGCGAGTTTCATAGTACAAAGAATAATAATATGTAGGTGCTAGAGCACTAATTTATGTGGTAATACGTAATAGATTTAATCAAATGTGAAATTAAGTGACTCATTTAATGAAAATTGTAATTTAACGCTATTAGTGCTGCCACCTAGACTGGTATTAAACACAGGTGCTAAATAGCATTACTTTAGTACAAAAGGGGCTTTTCCTTAAATGCTTTTAGTTTTTAATTTAATGTATGTTTTGTAGTTATATATTAATGTCATATGGTATTTTGTGCAGTGAAGAGGCAGCAAAGAAATCGATGTACTCAGTTTCAACCAAATATTACTATGCATTTAGCTGTAAAGTCCCGGAAAATCTGACTCACAAGATCAAATGTAATTTTTCTGGAGCACTATCTAATTTTTCTTCCTTTTGTTTTAGTATTTAATTTCTTGAACATATCATGCTTGGTAATCAGTATTATATCGTGCTCTCGTCTGTACAATGGCACAAATTGTCCAATGTTGCCCAATCCAACTCATCAAGCATGCCAATAACTTGTTAATACAAACACTACTCCTTTGCAGCCCTCCCAGGTGTAAAATGGATTTTGCCAGACTCTTACTTGTATCCTGATGAAGATGGATATGGAGGTACTTCAAGCTCTCTCTGATTATATTCTTTCTTTGATCTAAAAATATTATCACAATTTAATTTTTCAATGATCCTTGCTAATTGAATTATAAAGCTTGGCAATTGACGAGATTGAAAAAATATTGTGCCAGCATATGTTGTTTAGGTTGTGTTCTATTGATTTAGCAGATAAGCACTACATATTTTTAAGAGGAACTTAAAAGGTCTATTTGGGAAATTGGAGAGTAAGTTTCAATAACTCAATGCTTGATATTGATATTCAATAGTCTCCTTACCGGAAAAATTGTACTGCTATTTATACTTCAAACCCCTGTAGAAAAAGAAAGCTACAAGACTAATAAAAATAGAAAATTGTGTCAATGATCCCTTGAAAATGAGGAAGGGAAATAAATCAAACACAAAGAAATCCTCAAAGCGAATCCAAATTTCTTTCCCTAAAATAATTGTCTAATATTTCTAAGTCTTTGAAACTAATATCCATTAGAATCTCCATCGTAATGCTTTGTTAGTTTGTTTAGGATGATTCACTTTTTTGCCTACTAGTTCACAGTTCAAGCAAAAAATAAGTTGATTATGACCTCTATGTGAGCGGAAAATACTTTGATCTTGTGAAATCGGGCTCAGTAAAACCAACAGACGAACACCAACCGAAGTGAGGCTCAAACCCACAACAACTTTCACCATGGTTGCCACCTTACCAACACCCTCAGAATATACTACAATGGTGATTAGTTTGCACCGACAAAGGAAGAGGGGAATAGAAGAAAGCACTTGGAAACTCAAGGAAGAGAACCAAAGATCTCCAAAACAAATAACCAACTCCTAATATATATTCAAAATAGAAGTCGGGTCACACCGAAATTCTAACAAATCTCTACCTTAATACGAATTCCACTGCAAGGAACAAAACTTCAATGTTCAACAAAATTCTCCACTTGGAGACAATTTCACTACAATGAATAAAACTTAACTCTTCAACAAAAACCTAACTCTAATAAAACTCTTTAGCAAAATTCTCCACCTTTTCCGCAAAAGCCCCTAAGGGCAAACTCTGCAAATGTCAAATTGAATCCAAGCACTGCTTATCAGCAGGATTACATTAGGTACCAAATTTGCTCGAATTATAACCACGAGCAATAAGATCACAATTAACTCCCTCTAAGTTGAGTAGATAGAAGGTTCTTCAATACCTTCATCAACGCTTATCAAAACATAATCGACCTAATCGACCTCACTAAACCTCTACTGAGGTCTAATATCTCTTTTCTTCATTTTAGTGATGGTTGCATCAAATGTGATTGTAGAACTAAACTTAAATCTGCCCCTCTCATAACCACTGGAAAAATTCTCATGAACAACAAGTTCCTCTGCCTTAGCCTCAAATCCAACAAGTTGCTTCATCTTCTCCTTAGAAAACAACGTATCATAAACTTCATCAATTGCAAGAGTGTCACGACTATACAAAATTGTGTATTTGAAAGTCATATATGAAGCAGACAATGAACATAACAAAATCAACTCTAAATCCTCTTATTCATACTTAACTTCCATGGTCTCCAAATTAACAATGATTTCCTTAAATATAGTTATGTGCTTTTCTATAGATCTGCATTTAGTCATATGATGAGAATACAACTATTGCTTCAGATGCAGTTTGCTGGTTAGATTTCGCGTCATGCATAACTGCTCCAATTTCAACCATACCGCAGCGGATATTTCCTCCTTTAAAGTGCCACGAAGAATTTGATCTGAAAGATGATGTATTTGAGATAGGACCTTTCGATCTTTACTTTGTTTTTACTCCAGTGTCCAAGTTGAGGGTATCCTATCAAACCATAACAAGGTCATCATCCAAATCCAACTGGACGAGCACTACTCGCATCTCAGCTCATCATAACGAAAATTTGGTATTGCGATCTAAAAGCCGAATAACGAACTTCATACTTGTCATTCCGAAAATCAAACATTGATCTGAGTTGATCAATCCTCGTTCTAATTAAACTTAAGCTCTAATACCACTTATTGGAAAATAAAATGGATATCAATTTGTTATAATACTAGTTTGTTGCGGGAAACGAGAATTATGGCAATATAAAAATAATAATACATGAACACAAGATTTGCATGGAAACCCAACTAGAGAAAAAACCACTAGGGGAAAATTCACCAATAATCAATAATGGAGGATTACAAGGATCAACGATAACTAGTTGGACGACCTCAATATGTGTTGTACACCGCATATATATAATACTAAGAAGAGTCTAATATAAGGTGAAATCCTAATATAATAGATTAAACAAATAACAGAGTGTTGAGGTTGAATATGAGTCCAAAAATTGCCAAAATCGAGAAACCTAATTTTTTGGATAACACTGTAGCTTGAGCGGCACCCTTACAGCTAGTGGTGGTGCCATGAACGCTCAAACGGCCACCCCGCGGTTAGCTAGTGAATGTCCTGTTCTGAGTGCTCGAACACCTGATGAGTGGCCAGTGGCGGTCTTGCGGCTACTTCTTCGCCATGGTCATCTTTTGACTTATTTGACTCCTTTTAATCTTTTACTTCTTTAAGACTTCTCCAAAACAAGTAACCAACTCCCAATATGCCTTTAAAATAGAATTTGGGTCATACTAAAATTCTGACAATATCCTCATCACGTTCTACTTCTATATTTTCTTGTGTATCACTTTCCATTTCACTTGAGGTAGTAGGGATGTGGAATTCACTCTCTCTACCTCAACTAAGGATTCTTTCCTAACAATTTCTTACTGTTCTTCGCTCTCCATGCAAGGTATCTCAAACTCATTAAAGGTGACATCACGACTTACCCTTCAAGCTCCTATCCCACAACCTATACCTCTTAATTCCCTCAGGGTACCCCAAGAAATACCTTTTTAGCTCTAGGTTCTAGTTTTCCCTTACTTTGATGAGAGAAAGCCGCATAGCTAAAAGGTTCTAAGCATAGAATAATCATCACATTTACCGTACCATTTCTCATACGGCATGTCACCTTATAAAGTAACAGATGGAGTCATATTAGTTAAGTAGCATACAGTCATAATAGCTTTACCCCAAAACGATTTAGGCACAGGCAATGGTGACCATATACGTTAACAATCCTAATGGCCACCCTGACACGAATGCCTACTTGTAAAAATTTAAAGAGTATTGGCCAATTTACTAGAGAAGACCTATATGTGGTTCGTACAAATGAGAGTTGCGAATTTAATTAAGGATTTGAGTCCTTATTTGAAAATCAGCAGAGGTAGCCAAGCCTCCCTTTTGATCACAGGAGCAAGAGCAATTACAAGCTCCGATACCAGTTTGTTGTAAATAAAGCTCATTCAAATGACAAACAAAGACCAAGTTAGTCTAATCAATTGAAATAACAATAATTGAATCAATGTAAATCAAGCGAACAAACACTGTCCTATCAAAACACACGATTGCAGCCAAAGGTTAGAGGGATCAAATTCAACAACCCAGAGTCACAAAGTAACCACGACCAATTGGATCAAAGAATATCACTCAATCCACAAAGGAATCGCCCAAAGGAGTCACATTGAGTAGCAACCGAGTAGATAGCAGCAATTGGGCAGAAAGTAGTGAAGAATTTGCACTACAGAAGGTGCCGGAACACGCAGCAGGGCCGGCTTCAATTGTCGGCAGAGAGAATGGAGAAAATTGGTCACAGTAGAAGGCAAAAGATGAAGAAACCACAAGGGCAGTCGAGTCTCCTTCAACAAATAGGGGTGTGTATGCATGTAATGTAATAATCCCTCACGTGGACACAAGTCCACTATATATAGCCCCCGTTTGACACCCGTTAATTTCTCATTTTCATTTTTTATCTCATTCTCATTCTTCATTTCAACCACACATTCTCCAAATAAAATAATATTACAAATAAATCAAAAACTTTTCATCATTTTTCCAACACACATTCTCACATCAATCACTATTTCGAAATTTCTATTTTCCTCAAAATTAGATTCAAACACAAACATAGTGGAGATTAGGGTGCCAAATAATATGGGCCAAGTGGGTCGAGCCCCCTAATTGCCTATAATTTCCAATCGTGAGATTCCGTTGGCCGGCGTTGCAACCTCAGATCAATGTAATTAATATTATTCAATAATGGGCTTCTAACGAGGCCTATGAATTAAAGCCGACCTGCTTAATCATCGTTGCCTGGGATTTGTAATTGGTATTGAATACCTAATGCTCTAGACGGATAGTAAGATGTGAAGATTGGTGGGGTTTGGGTGGCAATGGTGTAGGGACAAGGCTGCTCAATCTCAATTGGGGTCTAATAGGCTTATGTAGAGGTGGTAATCGAGCCGAGCGGCTCATCGGCTTGGTCGCTCGGCTCGTAAAAAAGAGGCTCGTGAGCCGCTCGGGCCATTGCCACCACTAGGCTTATGGATCCTTATACTAATGTTGAGTTGTGATATTGGTGTTGAATAGCCATTTTAACTTTATACGTTGGTAGTTTCCTTAAAAAAATAATCTGTCTTGATCGATGTTTATTTTCTCCCCATCCAAAAGGTATACCTGGCATTTCTATATCTTTATCACATTTTGCATTCAATATTTGCTTAATTTGAAAGTTCGATTTTAGAGTTAATGATCTTGATAGTTGACATTGATAGGAAGATAGGAAAATACTCGAATAACATGTATATTGTAGTTCGTTCACGATTATCTAGATACCATAAAACAAACAGGTGGAATGTGATTTGTCTTCATGTTTATACTATTTTAGGTTTGAGTCTCACATGCCGTCCTAGCATCTTAGAGCATTTGGTTTAACTGGTATTGCTACATAAGTTGATCTTCTGACCTAATCAGGGTTTATTTAATCTTTAGGGGAACCATTCGTTGATGGAGAGGTAGTTTCTTATGACGAGAAGTATCATTGTAAGTACTGGTCACATAACAAATGTGACGACCTACTGACAGAAGTTGGTCAAGCAAAACCAAGAAGAAAAAAAGGAAGTAACGCATAACTAGTTCAAAGGAAATGGGTGGTTGAATCAAAAAGTTCTCAAGTGACGAAATTTCTCCGGGGGTTTAAATGAGGAGCAATCCCTGTACCCCAAAGACACCTATAGCTGCTGCTTGGAACCTTAAATATACTGGGTTGATGTCAAAGTTTGCAGTCTGCACTCGGCTCTGGGGAGCTTCTGCAGAGTCGTATATCAAATGGTGGTCTCTAGATGGAGTGACCTCCGGATTCAGTTGCATGTTTTCCTTCTGGGCAATGTTAGTTTTCATAACTATTCATGGTTTTATAACACGTGTACTTTCATCCCTTGCCTTAAGCCACTGTGCATTTTATAAATTCATGGTTCGTACTAATTGATGATACTGTTCGTGTAGAAAATATTGACTGTAATTTCCCTTTCGAGCTAAGTCCATGGAAAGAAGCTCCGACCCCTGGCTGCTGGTGCCATTTGTTTTATTGGGTTGATGGTACAGGCGGTAACGCTAGAGATGTTGGATTCTTCCTTGTTAATTAGAAGCTTCTTCTCACCAACCCTTCTGCATTTTTCCATAAGAAAATAGTGTCAAAAGTCGGCTGCAAGTTGTTAAGTTGTTACAATCTCATTTGATTAAGTCCAGATTCCTTTTATGTGTGTTTGATTAATGTTGCGTGCTCCACACAATTTTATAAAGTTTTAAAAATGGTTTGTTTCCTTGCAAGAAAATTGACTTTGATAGTTAAGTCTTCTTGTTTAGTATACATTATTTCAAAACTCATTTTCAACAACACATTTTTCAATAAAATAATATTTTCCATCACATTAATAACATTTTCTTATTTTTTAATCACATATTTTCCATCATATCACTATTTAAAATACATTCATTCATCAATAATATCTATCAAACACACGCTCAAAGTTCAAATGGAAACTATTAAAATTTTGACAAATAGACGGTGTTACTTGAATTCAAGATCTTTATGTACTCAATGCTATTTTTTCATGTAAAAGTTAAGTCCTATCGGGAAAAAAGGAAAAATTTTGACAATATATTAACCTAATAAAATATTTTGTATGTAAATTCAAAATTTTCTCTACTTTTTAATTATGCATTCTGCAAAAAATCACTCTTCAAAATATTATTTTTCTCAAATTTCTCTTTGTAATGGGGGGCTAAGTCGTGAAAAGGAAAACTGAAGTTTGTTATCAAATGTAACTTTTGACTAACAAACATTGTGTAGACTTTTGTTGTCTTGATATTTGCTTCATAAGACTATTCCATACACAGAAGCCACCTCTCACATCGCTTCAACAATTATATCCCTTCCAACGCATTCATAAGGAAAAAAAAAAAAAGAAAAGAAAAAGGACATTGCAAACACACATTCTTTGTTCTTATTATGGAAAAATCACAAACAATAAGTTAAGTTTAATTTAAAATGCTCAACAGACATATATTTTTTTGACTACATTTTTGAGGGATGTCATTGATTTTATCGAGTTAGTAAAAACGAAGTTACAACTTAAAGTGTGATAGTACCGAACACTGTCTCATAAATAACATGAGCAAAAGAAGCCAAATAAGGGACAAAGCACAAGTGAGAATTGAAATGAAACTAGAATGACTTTTGAAGATTGTGTTGTCGTGCTATGCATGATTTATAAGCTTGTGAGCTGTGACATAACATAAAAACAACATTAAATAGAAACAGAGGAGAAAAGGCAGTAAAATGACACAAAAGAAACAACATGAATACATCAACAACACACATACATTAATAATTTTTAAGGACAATTTGCATTCCTCAGGCTGAGGTCCTTGTTATTGGGAGATTTTCTTTGGTTCTTTATAGTTCTGTATAAAGCAGTATCAGAGTAGACAGCACGAGACCTGATTCGATGCCTGTGCCTATAACCTTTCCTTTTCTTTACTTCCTCCTTTTCTTGACGTCCTAGATTTCCATTCCCATTCAATTTGGCCACATTTTCATCATTTTCATTTGTCTTTAGATCGCCCTCTTTCTTTTTGCCTTCCGGGGAAACAATACACATAAAGGACCCAACTGGGATATTGTTGAACTCCAAGGCAAGTTCCAAGATTTTCACCACATTATTCATTGTTGGCCTGCATTTGGGAGAGTGGCTCAAACAATGATAAGCCAGTTCAGCCACTTTCTTAGCGCCTTCAGTTGAGTATTGACCTTCGAGTCTTGAGTCCATTATTCTGTCAAGATTACGGGAATCCTTCAAAAGAGGCCTTGCCCATTCTACCAAGTTTTGCTTTCTACTTGGACGGCTCTTATCCACTGCCCTTTTTCCTGTCATCAGCTCTAATAGAACAACTCCAAAGCTGTATATATCATTCATCGTTGTCAAATGACCTGGATTCTATTAGTATTAGAGACATATTTCATGCTACTATTCAAAAATAGAATCCTTATTTGAAAATCAAGATAACATGTTACCAGTCATGACATACTCAGGAGCGGCATAGCCATGAGTGCCCATCACACGTGTTGAGACATGTGTGTTATCTCCTTCTGGTCCATCCTTGGCCAGTCCAAAATCTGAAAGCTTAGCAGTATGGTCCTGGTAAATATACAGATCTTGACAGTATTAGATGGTGGAAAGGGGAAATTAAGCATAAATATAACATGATTGAGCGAACTATTGGAAATGGGACAGGAAGTTACAGAATCCAATAGGATATTTGAAGTCTTGACAGTATTAGATGGTGGAAAGGGGAAATGAAGCATAAATATAACATGATTGAGCAAACTATTGGAAAAGGGACAGGAAGTTACAAAATCCAATAGGATATTTGAAGTCTTGAAATCCCGGTATATTACTGGTTGATCTTCCCCGTGAAGAAACGCCAAGCCTTTTGCAGCACCAACTGCAATTTTTATCCTTGTCAACCATGGCAAGGCAGCGGAATACCCTGCAGCAGTCAAAATATATATTGTCAATTCTTATTCCAGATGTTTAAATACTTTACACGAAACATCATCTTTCATTATATGTAGACGTACTTCTGAATAATTGATTTTCGAGGTTGCCTCTGGCCATGTATTCATATACAAGAAGCCTGTGTTCATCCTCACAACAATATCCAATCAATTTCACAAGATGGGGATGCCTCAATTGTCCAAGAAGGATGACTTCAGTCTATAACTTGAAATAAAAATATGAATCAGATTACATTCAAGAAACTTTTCTATTATCTAATACAAGGTAAAGGGGGAAAATGAAGAAAAAAGTGAAAAAATTCGATGAAAGCAGTACAAGGCATTTCAAGCTGAACTATGAATGCTCACCAGCCACTCTCGATGACCCTGGGTGCCATCCAGATCGAGTAACTTGACAGCAACAGGCTGAGCCTTCAGCCCAGGCCTAAACTTGTCGTCAATGAATCCTTTGTGCACTGGTCCAAAACCACCTTCTCCAAGAAAATTACTTGACGAAAAGTCATTAGTAATCAGTTTGAGTTCTGTTAGTGTAAAAATGTGGAGATTTGATCCGATAATAGAGTTAGAGAGGTCACTGGCAGAGAGTAGGGAACCGGAATCACTTATATCAGAAAGCGATAGCCTCTTATCAGAATTTTGTTTAGAAACTCGACTTTTGGAATCCAGAGCGAGGCTCTTGGACTGGAAACAAGTAGGCAGGAGAGTTTTCCATGTAATCTTGACAGCCATGGTGTATCGTAACTGATCAAACTATCTTTCTAGCATCCCAGGGGTATATATATGTATGTGTTTGTGTGTGTGTGCTCACGCAAGGTAAGAAGAGAGGAGAAAAAATGTGTAGTTACAGATATGTTGGCAGCCAAATATCGTGGTTTCTAATACGGAGCCAATATATATGAATTACAATCATGTTTAGTGTATATCATGGTGTACATTATTGTTTACATTTTGTCACGTGACATTATTCAATTGAACAATTAAAAAAAAAAATCAGTTTTTTTATCCAATTATTTGTTGACAACAATGCAAATATCAACAATGGTGTAAAAAATCAGTATACAAATGACATAATCCTATGAATTAATCTAGATGTACATTCCTAAATGTCTTTGTTGTAGACATTGTGTGTGTTGTCAAAATCGTTGCCTTGTTTAAAGTGTTGTTAAAATCAATGTATAAAAAATTACCGACTCACAAGAATGTCATCAATGATGTCAAAATTAGTGTACATGTAACAAGATTGAATATATACTACTAATAACAATCCATCCTATTTTTTTTTCCTGTTTGCCAATATTAAAAAGTTGATAAACATGGAAATCTTTATCTTCAGTAGAAATATCTGAAAGTCTTTTGAGTTTTTCTGTCGGACATTTTTAGTATAAAATATTGTTTGAGTACGAGACAGCGAATATTTTCTTACTAATATCATCATGTGTTAATACAGTATAAGCTTTTAACAAACCACTAGTGTGCTGCTTGCCTTGACTTTGAAACGTTCAAATTATAATATCAAATCCACGGAAAGCAAGGAGCCATACAATCATATTATAATATTACCTTTTTATATTTCACATAAAGTCATTCGTGGAGTTTTGTCACCGAGTAAACTTTTAAAACACTGCAGATAAATTCAATAAAGCTAATTCACCACTAATTAATTGATGTGTGGCGTCACCTTAATTCATAATTCCAAACTGAACGTGGAAAATCCTGATTCCACAAATTGGAAGAGGAAAATGAAATGTTGAAAAAAGGACTGGTGAGTTAGAGAAATGAAGCCCAAAAGTCAGTAAAGAAATTTATTTTTTCCATTCTTCATATCAGGGGTGTGTTTAATCCACATTATTTTGAAATAGTATATTGATGGAGAATGTGTGGTTGAAAAAGAAGGAAAAATTATTGATGTAATTGAAGAATGTGTGATTAAAAATAAATAGAAGAATGATAATGAAAATTTTAATGTGACTCAAACAGGGGGTAGCGGTGGCAAAAAAGTTCAGAGGTTCGGACAGCTCGGGCTCGGTTGCACCGAGCCGAGCCCCATGTTGGAGCACCGAGCCTAGCCCGACCCGGCCCGTGTGCCTCGGCGAGCCACAAGTGCCGGCCCTGTCAAGCAATTTTTATATTAAAAAAAATTGAAAATTGAAATTTTATAATTTCTTTAATTTATAACACGCATAAAATGTACAATTTTTTTTGTTTAAATTATGATTATTGAAGTAGTGACATATCTTTTGAAATAACAAATTACTAACCATATAACTTTGCCAGTCTTAATGAGAATATAAATATTTATCAACTTCCAACGCGTTCCACTAAAATCTAGTCACTTTTTCATAAAATTACACCTTACAAGTTACAATGACCTTTATTATGTACTTTTGCAATTTATATTTTAAAAAAAAAAACCCGAGCCGGTTTGGCCCGCTAAGGCTCGGGCCGAGCCTCATTTTTTTTGGTCGGGCTCGGCTTGGGCCAAAAAAGCTCGACCAGAAAAAGCTCGAGCTTTTTTTATCCGACTCGGACTCCGCTCGTGGACACCACTAAACAGGGGCTAGATGACAATTTGGAATTTCTCATACTAAACACCAAAATAATGGAGCCCAAGAAGACCCTATTTTCTGTCCATACGCTAGTGTTATGGCATATTCCCTTTCAGAGCTTGATGAATGTGTCAACTACAATGGACTGATTTTAAATTCCTATTTTCTGTCCATACGCTAGTGTTATGGCATATTCCCTTTCAGAGCTTGATGAATGTGTCAACTACAATGGACTGATTTTAAATTATCAAAGCAATGTCTCTTCCATAATTTATTTTTAATTTGTTATTTAAATCCAAAGACCTTTGTAATATTAAGCATGCCCTCTTTGTATGCATTTATTATTTCCCAGCATATTGGCAGAAAGTGAGGAACACAGTTAACAAATGCCGTGGACTACTTATTTTTCATGTCCAACGTGAAAGGAAGAGCAGGCATGAATCATGTGTGAACCGATGAGGTTGTAATCATACGCGGAACAGAGCAATAACCTATAGGTCTTAAATGTTACTTTTTTGTTCAATAAAAAGGAAAAGGGTGCGGTGCAAGTCAAAATTCAGAAATACTCGAAATGAGATGCATATTCTTGGTTGGTAAAGAAATTTGCAAAGCTGTGTTGACCTGGGCACTCCCAAATTCCAGCCTTGGATCGAAAATTGAGTCTAAATCAGACCTAATCCAATCAGTTGAGTTGAGACCCGGAGGCTCCCATTCCAAATATATATGAATTGGATAGCGGTCTTACCGTGCAGCTCAGACTTGACCCAAGTTACCGTGCGTTCGTAACTGAACTTTTCTATATACGTCAACAAACATCGTACCACACAAAACCAACTAATGGCAAAACAGTGGGTCCGTAATGGCATGTTTCATTTACGGGAAAACAGTAAGACAATGAAATCAAAATCACGTGTGATGTACCATTGAACTATCCTTCTTCATTATAGCATCCATAAATTCAACAAACAAAGATAATTCCTGTATAAAAAGGAGAAAATAAATAAATAAATGCATTCAACAAATCTGACCTTCAAGAAGAAGATGAAGAAATAAACAAAAAGTAAATTCCGCTCCTTTTTCTTATGGCACAACTAAAAAGAGAATCATATTCTTTGCTAGACCCCCAAGGAGCAATACCTTCATTTGCTTCCCTCCTCGGAAATGAACTACAAAATTTTGTTAGTAGATTACACAAGAAGAGCAAAGGAATCAATAGCCAATAAACAAAATTAGGTTTATAGACAACCACTGACGCCGGACAGAATAGCGATTATTCTGCAGGCTAATTCTACCAACAAATTCACAGGGAAGAACACAAGATTAATGCCGAAAAAATGCAGAGAAAACGTCTCTGAAATTTAGAGAATTTTATTATATCACGCAATGATCAAAATAAGTCCACAAGTCGGACTTTATAACCGAANACAACATACTGAAATTTAATTATAATCGAACCATAAATGGACCTCTGATTTTTAGCAAGAAGAAACTAGAACCTTAGCTTCTCTCTCTCTCTCTCTTTCTCTTTCTCGTTCTCTCTGTCTATCTCGTATGTATGTATATTAATGAATGTATGTTGGTCTCTACCTTGTATTATACATTGGTGTTGGGCCTAAGTGAGAAAGCCCACTTGCCAATTTCAATAGGCTCCCTCACTAGGAGGGAATACCCAACAAATCTCCCCATCCCGACTACGTGAGGGACTCCACCAAGCCCACTTTCCTCCTACATACTTGTAGTTTCTCCATAGGAAATGACTTTGTCATCATATCTGAACCATTCTCATCAGAATAGATTTTATCGAGCTGTAACTTCTTCATCTCCAGAGCATCTCGAATCAAATGATACCTCACTTCAATGTGTTTGGATCTTGAGTGAAATGTTGGATTCTTACTGAGATGAATAGCACTCTAACTGTCACAGTAGAGTATATTCTTCTCTTGCTCTAAGCTAAGTTGTTGCAAGAACTTCTTCATTCATAGCAGTTCCTTGCTAGCTTCAGTGCTATGGTAGATAGAGCAACATATTTCTGCAGTCTTGATTGCCATGAAACTGCTCCCCCTGAAAAAGTGATTAGATATCCAGAAGTGGACTTTCTAGAATCAACATCACTAGCCATATCTGCATCTGACACATTTCAATTGTCTTCCAGTTTCTCTTTCAACTTTCAAATGAAAGTCTTTAAATACTTCCAGCACCTGATCTTTAGATTTCAGAGGATATGCATACACCTTTCTAGAGTGATCATCAATAAATGTAACATAATACAATGCACCACCTAGAGATTTACTTAGCATTGTGTAGACATCAGTGTTAACTAATCAAGAATATGAGTCTTTCGCAACAAAAGTGTTTCATTTCAATGGGCTTAGGATCCATTATTAGTAGTTTGTAACCAGGATCAGCTACTAGCTTTAAAAAAATTATACTCAAAACATGATGTCTGTCATATGCGAAATTCAATCGCAAGTTTAAACAGCGTGATGCATATAACAGCAATTATATCATTGGATCCAAGTAGCCCTGACAATTTGGGGAAAGGAAATTTAGTGTTAGATCATGAGTAGCAATCACACGAAAAAAATGTGTAAAATGTTCGCTGAAGCTCTTGTAGCTCACGAATTTCTTGAAAGAAAAGAAATCAAAATATAATTTACACAATTCAACTCATCATCATCTGAACATAAATAAGTGTATTTGAAAACAAACTCTCTTTTAATTTCAAATATAAATGTACAATGTCAAATGCAGGAACCATGCTTGCCACAACACCCTATTTCCTCTTGTATCCAAAAACAAAATCATAATGGAGATTCTTTTGTTTATTGTTGGGGATTGAACAAATACAACACACAAACAGCGGAAATAATAATATTTCAATCCTTCAATGGGCACAAATTAAAATGACAGGAATGAAAACCAGCTTCAACAACTCACACACATTAGCATGAATATAAATTGAACACCAAAATTTGTTAACAAGGAAAACCCTGCGAAGGGAAAAGCCCTGGGACCTAGTCCAGTAAAAGAGCCATCCACTATAAAAATAATGAGATACACAGTAATGTTCTTTAGAACCAACTCCAAAGGCTACCACTACATCAAGAACACACTTCGTCCTTTGATATCTACAACAACAACATCATAAAGATAAATGCACACTATAATAAGAAAAATCTCACG